TAGTGGCGAACAGTCGCGAAAAGTGGCAAATAGTGACGAATAGTCGTCAATAGTCACCGCTTTAGATCTAATATCCTGCGTTAATTAATTATCCAAATACGCAACAGAATTTCAGTGAATTTATTACCTTTTCTTCACCGGACAAAACAGAAAAAAATACGTTTGGAAACACCTCTTGTCCTGATAAGCGTCTGTACTTTTTAGCGGGAAAATCCCGTCCTACATTGCTGCGAGGTTGGCTGCGAGATACTGGGTACCCTATTTGCTACGATTTGCCACTGTTCGCCACTATTCACACAATTCGCCACTATACGCAATATTCGCACTATTCGTACTATTCGTTATTCGCTATTCGGGACTATTCGCTGTTCGCTATTCGCGACTATTCGCTATTCGCTATTCGGATTTTCCAGACACCCAAAGTGAAGAGATCGACTAAGTGAACCTATCGAACAATACCTTGTTTGTTTTGTTTTCTTAAAAGATGGGACCCCGACGGCATCTGCAAAGCGTGATAGTGAACTGGACAAAATGACAATTGTGGTTGCGACCGCGGGTTCTACCCTTGGTGCTTTGATCGTCTTGCTGACCGCCTTGGTTTGCTTTCGGCGATTTCACCGTAGTCGGCGATTCCGACGCTATTCGTTCCGGAGCCGAAGATACAGCGACGACGACAGAATTGCCATCATTGCTGCGTACACCGGTGATGTTCACTTTATTTTGCCTTCTTACGACGAAGCTATAAGTCAGGTGGAGCGGTCACCGCCACCGTTTGAATCTGTGGTGGAAGGAACGCAAGGGAGTGACAATGAACCGACGTCAAGTTCTGACAATGCTAGCACCAGCCAAGCTGCAGGCCTGGAGGCAATTTCTGCTCCTGAAAATACAAACAGCTCGGAGCCAGTCGGTGATTCTACGAGCATACGAGAACACGACACGATAACCGAGCAGCGACCGATTCATATCGTCAGTAATCCGCTAGCGGACACCGCAAGTGATACCAGATCAAATGCTCCAAATGCGACTGAACAGACTGCTGATGCCGCCAACGAAACAGGAGTTAATTTAGCACTAAATTGCTCCGATGAATCTATAGACACTGGCGATGCTGAGTTGTGGCCGAACCGACCACCCGATAGTCTCCCGAGCAGCTCTTCGGAAGACGATCTTACGTCGAGTCAAACTCAGCCGTTACTTGGCAACGGAAGTAGAGGAGTTATGGTGTGATTCTTCGTGACTTATCTCAACGTCACGCGCTGCAGTCTGTTTTTAGTAATTGTACGTCACCCTGAATGTAACACAATTGGAAAATCAATCTATTTCACGCGAAAAGAATTTAGAAGATGTCCGCACCCCGTTAAAATTAGGTAAAATATACACTCTCCTATGTCACTAGTAATGTTTTGGTTGTGACGCTAATTGGGAGATCGGGGATGAAAGATTGCGTGACTAGTTTGCATAGATGGTCAGTAAATATAATTTGTGGTATGAATTTCGATTAGCAAGGCTACTTAGAAAATGTTCGTATGTGTTGCTGCTCTCTTTTCATAGAAATTTTGTAACTTAGCAGCGTGACAACATGTTGAGGTATGCTATCCATGAATGTTGTCCAAGCAAAGCTTGAGTGAGGCCTATCACGCCTATAAACGAAATAAGGCACAAGTAGTGAACTCAACTATACTTCTATAAAATATTTCAAATTAGTATTTTTGATAAGAAAGTAACTTCACCTTATAGTTGTTTCGTGTTAAAGTTTGGATCCTGTTATGTTTCATTCTTTCATGCATCTCGTTTTTCTCTTCTTGACTAACAAAGTTAGACGAAAGTCGAGTGACCGACTAAATAGGTTTATTAGACTCAATTAGATTTTGTCTTTTTTAATCTTGAAACTGTTTCCTTAAGTGTCGTCAGTTATTGGGTGAGTCCAAACGTAAACTAATGTCTTGTTTGTTGTTGCTTAAAACAAAGTCGGTACACGATCTTCTTTTGTTCGCACGTTGTGTTCGCCATAACCCATTATACTAGATTTGATCTCAGTGCAGTATATGCTACGACAGGGTTTTTGAAACATGCTTCACCCGTCTTGATTCAATCATATTAGCATACGTCGGCCTGTGATCCATTTCCACAATTTCCCTGTAATTAGCTTCTAAGTTCACGCCTGCCACAGACCAGTGAATACAATCGAGGGGAATCGCGTGTTGGAAACCCGAATTTAGGCCCGGTCCACACTACGCCGAAGGAATTTGGAAACGGAACTTTATTTCTACGGTTAGTCCTACCGTCCACACTAATCCGTCACGAAAACGGAGCTTTTCATAAACGCTCTTCAAACCCGAGGAATTTGAAAACGCCGGCATTGCGTTTTCGTGTGAACTGAAAACATTTTGAAAACGGAGCTTTTCGAAAGCGATGACGTCATGATAATCACGTGATTCCCTGCCCTAGTTTTCGTTAAACACAAATTCGAAATGACCGGTGATTTTTTTCAAATTTCTCCGGCGTAGTGTGGACGGAAAACACTTTTATCTCCGACGTAGTGGTGACGGGGCCTTATACACTGTACTGAAATCGGCGGTAACGAGCTCATAGTAAACGAATTTTGTGACAGTCATTCAAAGACCGCTTTGTATAATACAGGATTAATGATATCAGTGTAAATAGTTCTCAAACACATTTAGCAGATAGTAGTTCGTAGCGCAAATGGGTATTTTAACGTAATCTTCAACTTATTCAACGTTCAATAAATTGTTTGCATTACAACTGTACAGAATGTAGATTCCGAATTTTTTGTTTTTCAACTTCTTTGGTCACCTGCAGTGCACTGATACAGTGATCAACACTATCAGCTTGAACTGTAAACTGGTCAAAACCATTCTCGTACCTGGTGCTGCCCGTTTTGGTATGTTTTGATACGTGGGTTAAAAGTGCCACGGTTTTGCTCCACGAGGCTACTTATTAGAACTCTTTTTGCCTAAAAATTATGCGTTGGGAAAGCTTCAGCATGGTAGAGGATGAAACATTTTCCAAATGGCATGTGCAAGAAAATGCACGAGCTAATTCAGTTTTAAGGCGCCCTCGCTTGACTATGTCCCTTGATTTCCGAATTTAAAATCATTCGAACTGCAAATTTGTAGTTGTATTCTGAAGAAATGAAATCTGTGAAGAAATATATTGGATAAATAATGTTGACGTCAACATTTTTAATCATTTCTTTAAATGCGTGGTTAATTACCCATAGTTTTCTCTCATTTCGATTCAAATAGAGACCTTTTTCCCCATTGTAAACCGCGCTAAAAAGGAAAAAACAAATTGTATCTAGTAGGCCCCACCTTAAAGCAAATTGAAATCGTTCAAGAAGTTGAGAACTAATTAACTTTGCTCATTGTGAGCTTTATTTTATTCCATAAACTGGCGATAGCCCAAAGAAACTACGACTTCAAACACAACGCACAATGAGCTATTGATAGCCACCGAACCACCACTGTGTGGTGGAGTCCTCATTCATGGTACAGGTAAACTTGGGATTTGCTGTGTGGTAAAACCCAAAGTTATCTTCACTTGACACGGAACCAACAGTTGGATCAAACTGGCAACCTTTATGGGAGCTGTCGATATGTAGAAGGTACGTGCTGATAACCTGCCAAAACCTGGCTGTCTTGCGTATGCCCATGTGACCACGAATGTTCACAAGCTCGGTCTTGAGACAAATACCTCTACCTAGGAAAGCGAAGATATCAGCCTCCGCAAACCGTCCACGGATGTAATCTTTGTAATGGTTGATACCGTATTTGTCAAAACTGCAGGTAGCCCGCCAGTGGGTTGATACGTCTCTCAAAGACTTCATTCGGTCAGCTGTCAGTCGATAAAGGAACCAGTTTGGCGAATTTTCGTTGACCGGATCGTTGACTGAGAGAGGGGAGCTCCTGTTGGTTACAAAATTGAAAATGATAATCTCAATTACAGCAGCAGGAAAAATAACCTCACCGACAACTTCATTCTTAAAGTTGATGCTCAAAATGTAGACTTTTGGTCCATGCCAGTTAACTGGCCTTACTGTAGCTTTTTGGGGGGCCTGGTATTGTTTCCTTCCAGTGCTGCATTTTTTCATATATAATCGATCAGGATCGCTTCATTTGTTAGTGTCCTTTAAGATATTGTTAAGAACTGGTAGCAGTTAGGACAAACAACTGGTATTATATCATTCGATGCATTATTTTTCTTTTCTTTTTTTTTTTTTTTTTT